GGAGTGTGGAGTGTATGGTGGTGGGTAGTTTGTGCGGGAGAGGAGTGTGGAGTGTATGGTGGTGGGTAGTATGTGCAGTGAGAGGGTTACAGAGTGTATGGCGGTGGGTAGTGTGCAGGTAGAGGGGTACAGAGTGTATGGCGGTGGGTAGTATTTGAAGGGAGAGAGAAACCGGCTTTCAGCTGCTGCAGGGAGAGACACCCGACACAGGAAGAGCAGCGGTACTCCTATCGGCCCTGCTGGTAGTTCTGACACTGCCCTCAACATGTATCATTCATGGGTGCAGTGACTGTCCGAGCACAATGCCCCCCCTTCAGGGCCCTTGTTCAGTGAACACCCTGCATCATGGATGATACACCACTGCCTCCAGCCTTCCCTGCACCTGAAGTACCAAGGCCTCATCCTAGACACAGCCCAGGCTGTTCCTTCACTTAGTTTCACTCACAGCCCCTCCAACACAACATTCTGTTGGCCTGGAACAGACACACTACATCTCTTGACCTCCCTGTGCTTCTCCCCAGTCAAGCAAGAAGCTCCCTTGCTTGGTAGAGACTCCCATTACAGCACCTTGTGCTTCCTCAGAACCTCCATCTGTTTTTTCACTGCCATACAGAAACCAGCCTGTGAACCCATTAGGGAACTCCTTCTGGGTTATCTCTCCTGCAAAGCAGCCATATTAGAGCCCCCTCTTATAAAGAGCTCTTCATCATTCTTCACAAAGATAAAGTTGTGGTTTTACATCCAAGACCTTCCTTTCTCCCTAAGCAGGTATCAGCCCAAGGAAGACATTGCTCTTGCTTCCTTGTGCCCTGTTTCTAAGCATCCCAAGGAAATTGCTCTTAATGTATGGATGTAGTCATAGCTGTCAGAATCTATCTGAAAGCTACAGCTTTTATCCAAAAAACTTACTTTTTTTCCTCTTGCCAACAGCGTCTTGAAAAGGAAACCCTGCTTCCAAGTCCACTATTTTCAGGTGGATAAGACAACTCATTGTAAGAGTTCATAATATGAAGAATATGACACCTCCAGTACCTTTGCATTCCACCAGATCATGTAGGTTTCCTGGGCATTCAGACATCAAGTTGCTCAACTTACAGTTACATAGGTTAGGTTGAAAAAAGACACATTTAGTTCCACTTAGTTCAACCAATGGGAAAAAAATAAACAGAATAAATAGAAAACGTCAAAATACAGATGACGTGCAGCTAATCTTCACACACCACTACTCCTGGTAAGTCATATCTCGTCAATGACTTCAACTAGGATTCTCACCACTATGTTTACATTCCAGCAGTGCCTGGTCATTTGTGATGCGAGTACTGCTCAGGCAAAAGGCGCTGTGGTGGCAATGAACCAATATCATTGGGTGTTTCTTATGGTTGTTGACGTGGGTCAGCATCACTGCATGACAAAATTGACATTTGATTAATTTTGGGGGACATTGTTTTTTAAATTTGTTTTCCAATAAAGGACTTTTTTTCCTAGTGTGGTTGTTTTTTTTTATTTTTCAACATTTTTTGGTGAATGAGTAACAAGGGGTACTATTCACAGTATACACATTCACATATAGGGATCTGGATATGTAGAGAACCTCTTACTTATTCTAAACAAAGCTTCCAGAATTGTATAAGTCCTCCCCTCTCTTTTGGGGTACAGTATGTAAGAATGAGGACCTTGTCCTCAGCAACAAGACAAGGCCTTGCAAGGGAAGGAAGGGGGAGGCTTGGCTAACCCCCTGTGCAAGGTACAATTCCAATTTCGAGGGTATGTGGCCTCATATGGCTCACTGGGTACAGTCTCACTGCCCCCCCCCCCCCCTTTCCTCGCCAGCCAGGCTGTTGGATGACAGCATTTTATTCTTTTTTTTTTGGGGAGATAAGATATGCCTTTTTTTCTTTTAAAGACCCAGTGCACCATTTAAAAAATTAGGTTTGACTAGCCAGTTGGTTCATCCTTTTCTCAGACTATGGGCAGGCTTGATTCATGTTGAATTCATGTTCAATCTGAATCTGAAGCTCATCTCTGCTGACTTGGAACAATCAGGAGTTTCAAGTTCACTCCCTCTCACCCTGATGCATACTTGCATGTTAGCATGAGTGAATTGCAAGCTGTTGATACTGTTACTATCACTCACATGGGTTCTGCACTCCCTCATGGCCAAAAGCCAAGCCACTTCATTGGGCCACATATATGGAAGGATAATGTCCTTTCACCTGGCAGTTACACCTGTCCCAGCACTGGACTACTGAGTAATTTTGAGGGGAACAGTGCCGCACTGATTTTCCTCCACCAGCTCTTCACCATACACTTGTTTACAAATTCAGCCTGAAGGCAAAGAAGGGGAGCCACCACTCATACTCTGGGAGGCACCGCACAAGGTTGTTCTAAGCCATGTCCCTAGGACTGGCTCTGTTCTGCAGCAGGCCATAAAGTAGGGACCCAAACACTCGGAAGGCTGTCCCATATGCCTGGCCACCTTACCTACTGAACCTCTTTCCCTGGCCACCACTGTCTTTCGTGAGCTGGCTGCTCCTCCTTTCTTTTCTTTATACACTTCACCACCCAGAGGGTTAACCTGAGGGTTTACACTTTGTTACCCAAAAATGTTCACTATAGAATTCAGTCTCTTTTCCCAAGAATCACACCAGATGTTGGTACTTAACCAGAACGTTTTACTGGAGTAAAGTACTTTGACTGTGGTGTGCATACTTTTTTGCTAGATGTATTCCCAATAAATAGATGATAAAGATTTAGTCATTCATCCTATATCAGGGCCCTGCTACGGGGCTGCCCCACTCTTGGCAAAACAACTACATCTCCACATGTATGTTCACACTCCCAACAGACCATGAAACCCTGCATGTATATATTCTCAACAGGAAGTGAAAAATACAAATAACATTTAGGTACCTGCCTACATGCTGTATGCCAGAGATTAGAATGATTAATGATGCAGGCAAGTAGCAATTTAGGAGGTAAGCAATTGCAGCCTATATACTTCCCTGCATACAGGTTTTCTTTGAGCAATGTACTGTGATCAATGCAGTTCAGCAGCCCTTCTGTTTACTTTCTAAGTGTACAGCCATTTGGAACAGACTCTGAGCTGTCTAAACAAAATGATGTCAAAGAAGGCACAATGGGGAAAATTCAGTAAAACAATGAGACAGTTTTATGTTGATATTGCCCTTTAAAACAACCTGTGCCTAATTCAGGAAAGCCTGACAGGTAAATTAATCTGTCACTTGCACTAACATTTGTCATGCAGAGGAGCAATAGAATTCTAAAGATTGTCTACAGCCTTTTTTCCACTTGATATATCTGGATCCCTAGCTGTTGACAGTAATATATGACTGGCTATTAGAAACAGGAAAAGAGATGTGATACCAGGGATGCCATCTCTCAGTAGTTTTCTACATCTATACCAGGGGTGGGAAATTAATTTTCCCAAAGGGCCACATGAGACCCTGGCATTGTTGCAAAGTGCCGATCTTAATTATGCCCAATATTAATTTTAGACCTTGGAATGTCCATGAATATGTAAACATAAAAAACAAAAACCTTGCCCTAGGAATAATAGGTACAAAATTGGTAATGAAATAGGTCTTTTTCATATGGGTGGTTGAGGGCCATAAAAACAGGTGGCTGAGCCATGGTTTTATTGCCTTCCAACTGTCCATCTGAACTGTAATAGCAGTCAGATGGGGCTGTTCACTTACTGTGTCCATGAAGCTTTGCTTCGCGCAACATAATTTTTAATTTGGGGTGCAGAGTTTGATAAGCGCCACTGCTTGTCAGACTCGCCCACTGAGTTCATTTTTGCCATGCCACAATCACATGCAATGCACACGATTGCAGCACGGTAGTGCAACAGGATTAAATTAAGTGGCGAGGAGACAATATAACACCTCCTCACCCCCTGTCAAATACTCTCTGAAAAGCACTGTGATCGGAGAAAGAGAGGCAGAGATCAGAACAGCCAAGGGTTTCTGGAGATTTTGACCTGGAGTGAAGAACAGGTACATGACTCCTGGGGTTTACAGCATGCAGGCACAAACACAGGTTCAACTCGGGTGGGTAGAAGAGTGGTGGGGGAGAGTCAAGATTTTTCCTATGTAATGCTTTCCTGCCAAAACCAAGCATGCATCACTGTACTAATCAGCTCCTCAGACAGGGTCAGAGAAGCATGCTGACACTGGAGGTATCAAGGGCCAGATAGGGACAACCAAAAGTCCCGATAAGGCCCTGGACAAGGCCATAGGATTTTTTTACGATTGTTTTATGCCTTGGACAAGGCCTTAGGATTTTTTTGCAAAAGAAATAGGGAATGTTCATTTAGCAAAGTGAAGCTGTATTCACTTTCAACCTGATTATATACAAGGGAATCTAATAAACACAATTTTGCCTTGTACATTATTAAATGGTTGAAATTAACACAGTTTCATTCTGCTTGATGAGCAATCAGTTTGCTAAATGAACATTATTTACTACTATAATAAAACAGCCCAAGTAAATACATTTATATGTTCCAGTAACACTTTGAGAATGTTGCGCATGCCATCATTTTGCGTGTATATTATACTGTACATGTATATACATGTACATACTGTACTTCAAAACAATTCAGAATGTTTAACGAGGCAGTCTTACATTTTAGGGATAATCCCCACAGCATAAAGCACACTGAGAAAAAGTAGGGCGGGCTATAAAGAAAAAGACACAAGTTTAATGATTAATTAAGTGATAAAAAAATTATGTACTTGGTAACTATCTATAGAGTTCATTTTGCACGCTAGAGACAATTGTTTCCTAGGTATTGCTATGGTATGCTAGCATTAGAGTCCTGCTTATTACCTTTGTTCATTTATTAAAATACAGAAGGCAAAACTGATGCCATTTTGTAGATTTTATGCAGCTTTTTCATAGCAGACGATTAAACTGTTGAAAAAGAAAAGGTTTTAGGTGAATTAATCTGTTTGCTTTAAAAATGTTTATTGTTTTAGGGAATTGTGTACAAAATTATACAGTACCAGCTGGGGAAATACTCAAAACTGGCAAAAGTTTGATAATGAATGTGAATACAACCCATCAGAGTCACCAATGCTAACGTGCCTAGCAGACGTAAGAGAACCTTGTCAACTGGGATGTCGGAACCTTACTTACTGTACCAACTTTAATAACCGGTAAACATTTTTTTAACTTGATTTTAAGTTCAGCTATACTAAGTATTTCCTTACTACTATATTTGTGCTACTCTTCTTTTAAAGGTCACTGGGTAAGATACCGTCCTGATTTGATTTGATATGATGTGTAGAGTGAAAGGATAGTTTTTTCCCATCTAAAACATAACGTTGAAGACTGGTCATAAAAGATTTTCAAAAACTCTGGAAGAAAGAATTTGAAAAGATGGAATAAACTTGATTCTGCGCTCCACTCCAAAATTCTGATGATCATTCATTTTAAATATTAGATCCCTCCATTATGAACAAATTGTGAATACCCAAACCAACAATCATTTTATGTGCAGTTAAGAATTTAGAATACTTTATTAAATCCAAAAGGATATTTTTTAAAAGCACACAGATGCACACAAAACCTTGTTTGGTTTTGGCATTCAGAATTTTTCTGCATTCAGATTGGTATGAGTTTTTGCTCCTTCTTTTGAATGCTGAAACTATTTTGTGTCTAAAATTTTCTATGCACCCTTGCCTAATCACATTATAAGGTATGCACCATTTACACTAACCTCTGGTACATTTGGAAAATAAGTGTGTGCAGTTCTTCAATTTCACAGCTTAAAATAAAAGAGAGTGTGTGGTGTGTATGTATGTATGTATGTATGTATGTATATATATATATATATATATATATATATATATATATATACACACACACACACACACATATATATTGCCAAAAGTATTGGGACGCCTGCCTTTACATGCACATGAACTTTAATGGCATCCCAGTCTTAGTCAGTAGGGTTCGAGAGAGAGAGAGAGAGAGAGAGAGAGAGAGGTTTTTTTTTTTTAATATATATAATTTTTGCAGTGTTGTACCTTAAAGTAATTATTTTTGTGACCTTCACATTTTTACAAGCTTCTTTTCTTGTGTCAACTGATACATACTGTATGCATTTTTAGAAAGCGTTATTTGTATAGCAACAGTTGTATAGCTTTTAAAGGAAGAAAATAAGAAAAAATAATCTGCATATGGGCCAGTTTTAAAGCTATTTTTCATCAAGCGGATCTTTTTGATTGTACATTGAAAAGACTATATATTCCCTTTAAGCTGCCTAATATAAAACATTGTATTGTGTGCATTAGGCACATCATTAATGCATTTCTAGTCGTATATGTATACAAATAGTTATGACTTACTAGTAGTAATATTTTTTAGTAGACAGAATGAACAGTCATTGCTACTCCTCACAAAGTCTACTATTGCTCAGTATTCATTAGGGCAGCACTGAGCAATACATTTTAATGTCAATTTTAATTTAGTTTAAACGAGAATACAATTGAGTTGATTTATTAAAGTAATGCAGTATGTTCACTTAGGAAAGTGAGCCTTCACTTTACTAAGTCAATACGGTGAATGACAAGCTAGGGAAACAAATTAAAACAGGATTTTTTTAAATATGACTAGATGTTTGAAGTGAGTAAGGCTTTACCTTATTACTTAAGTTTAGTGTAATAAGTGTAAACCTTCACTTTGTAAAGTGAACATGCTATACTCAAGTAAATCAACCACAACATGTCAAGTTACATCCAATAGCTTTGTGGTTTTCCAAAGTTATTTCTAATTTTACTATTTTCCCACTTCATCACTACACTCAGCACAGTGTTATCTACAAAAAAGTCTTTGTTGTGCAAAACTTGAATGCATTTGACTATACACTATATTGCCAAAAGTATTGGGACACCTGCCTTTACAAGCACATAAATTTTAATGGCATCCCAGTCTTAGTCCGTAGGATTCAAAATTGAGTTGGTCCATCCTTTCCAGCTATAACAGCTTGAACACTTCTAGGAAGGCTGTCCACAAGGTTTAGGAGTGTATCTATGGGACTGTTTAACCATTCTTCCTGGAGAGCATTTATGAGGTCAGGCACTGTTGTCAGACAAGAAGACCTGGCTCACAGTCTTCACTCTAATTCATCTCAAAGGTGTTCTGTTGGATTGAGGTCAGGACTCTGTCCAAGCCAGTCAAGTTCCTCCACCCCAAACCCGCTCATCCATTTCTTTATGGACCTTGCTTTGTGCCCTGGTGCACAGTCATGTTGGAACAGGAAGAGGAAGGGGCCATCCCCAAACTGTTCCCACAAAGCAGGGGACATGAAATTGTCCAAAATGTCTTAATATGCTGACGCCTTAAGAGTTCCCTTCGCTGGAACAAAGGGGCCAAGCCCAACCCCTGAAAAACAACCCCACACCATAATCCCCCCTCCACCAAACTTCATACTTGGCACAATCCAGTTAGTCAAGTACCGCTCTCCTGGCAACTGCCAAAACCAGACACATCCATCAGATTGCAAGATAGAGAAGCGTGATTTGTCACTACAGAGAACACATCTCCACTGCTCTAGAGTCCAGTGGCAGAGTGTTTTACACCACTGCATCCGATTCTTTGCATTGCAATTAGTAATGTAAGGCTTGGGTGCAGCTGCTCAGCCATAGAAACGCATTCCATGAAGCTCTCTACACAGTTGTGCTAATCTGAAGGCCACATGAAGTTTGCAGGTCTTTAGCTATTGACTCTGCAGATAGTTGTCAACTTCTGTGCACTGTGCACCTTAGCATGCGCTGACCCCAATCTGTCATTTTACATGGCCTACCACTTCATGGCTGAGTTGATGTTGTTCCCAGTTGCTTCCACTTTGTTATAATACCATTAACAGTTGAGCGTGGAATATTTAGTAGCAATGAAATTTCACAGATGGACTTATTGCACAGGTTGCAACCTATCACAGTACCACGCTTAAATTCACTGAGCTCCTGAGAGTGACCCATTCTTTTACAAATGTTTGTAGAAGCAGTCTGCATGCCTAGGTGCTTGATTTTATACACCTGTAGCCATGGAGGTGATTGGAACACCTGAATCCAATAATTTGGAGGGGTGTCACAATACTTTTGACAATATAGTGTATCTCTCAAGACAAATGACCTTAAATAATGCAGGGCCTAGTCTTGGGCAGGATTTATATAACATCCAGGCTATGGAACTTTCTGAGGTGAAGGACCTCTAGTTGGAAGGCCACAAGGTGCCTGTTTAGGGATGGGATCCCTGAGTATGAGCCCAAAGCACATTTGGATTTGTTGGCTTTAAGGATGAAAACATTTGTGTTACATGTTATGTACCCTGGCAACATATGTACGGGTATTTATCATTGAAAACCTATTCAGAGCCACCAGTGTATGAAATTATGTATGACCATGGCATTAATGAGCATATTGGCACATGTGCATTTTGTTACCTCCTAGCACAGCATGCATTATGGTTTTTTTGACTTTACTCTTTTTTTTTTTTTGCAGTCACCTTTAAACATATCAATGCACACTGAATGAAATTGTGTTGCTGCATAACGGGAACGTGTTATTCCTAATGCAGTCAGTTAGACCAAAAAAAACTCTTTTACATTTATATTAGTGGTGTGCTATGGCTTAGCTTGCCATATCCTCAATAACAAACCATACTTGTTAGTAAATTCAGCATGTGTACTTTTAGTATTTATTCTGCCTGCATGCCACAGGTACATAATAAATACGGGGATATGATTTGCGTATCTTTTATTATTGATTTCATCTCTATATGCACATAAGCTTTAGTAAATAGGGTGCAGGCATTTATGAAAAAAATAGTACATTGTATAGTGTGTTTTTTTTTTTCTTTTTCAGGCCAATTGAACTATTCAGGAGTTGTAATGCACAATCAGACCAAGGAGCAATGAATGACATGAAGTTGTGGGAGAAAGGTAGCATCAAGATGCCTTTCATGAACATTCCAGTTCTAGATATTCGAAAGTGTCATCCTGAAATGTGGAAGGCAATTGCTTGTTCTTTGCAGATCAAACCTTGCCATGGTAGATCTCGGGGCAGCATAATTTGCAAGTAAGTGCATCTATTATCATGATTTTCTACTTTTATTTATACAGTATTTGCATAAATATATATTTTGACAACTTAAGGCCCCATTCACATCTGGTGTTTTGTGATCTCAGGCAAAATCGCTGCGATTCTGCTGTGATCGCAAATCTCACTGCAATAATGCCACATAGCTTTCATTGTACTTTCTTTACCCATCAACAGAATACCTTTACACCCTTGCTGAGATTATCAGCTTCACACAGATACAATGCAAGTATTCAGTCTCCAACCACAAACCTTTTTAAGTCAAGGCACCCTTTAAAATTATGGGCAATCTCAAAACACCCCATTTTAAAATGTAAAAAACTAAACTAACATTTTTACATAATGCAGCAGCTTCCAAACACATAGGATACCCAACATTAAGTGATTTATTCTTACAAGAAAATATACCTTTGCCCACTGGCACTGACTAGTGACCCAGCATTTCTCTACTCCCTCAGTTTATCTCCCTTACTCAGCTAACAAGACCCCAAACAGGCCTGCCCCTTGCCTGCAGGGGCAAACAAGATGCTTCTCAAACACCCAAAGTTCTCCATACTAATGATATCAATGACTGTTAGGATGCCAGTGGTTGGCCTGCAAAGTACCCTAGGTTGTAAATCTGCACAATAAAAACCTCTGGCTTTGTGTACCTAAAAAGCAGTCTTGATCCATCTGCTGACTTGTTAACAATATTTGGGTAATTTGAAGCAATTTTATGCATTTTGCCTAGGCACCCCTGAAGAACCCAGAAGGCACCCCATAGTGCCATGGTACTCTGGCTAAAAAAGTCTGGACTAAACTTTTTGCTCAGGCTCATCTGTTAAGAGTATTTTGGCCTGGTCACAGGAGCTCCATAGTATGTAGTCACAGGAACATTCTACATCTGTCTGCCAGCACAATGGCATAATCATGCAATTAACAGTTCAAAAGCTTCTTACAAGTATGCTTCTAAGAGCTATTGCTGATTTCCATTTGGGTCACACCAGCATGTTAACATCAGGGCATTTCCAAGACCTGGTATATTTTGGGGTGTTTAGATGACTCCTAAGCACTTATAACTTTCTGCAAGTCTAGCTTTTGTTTACACTGTCCTTTGTACTTTTTTCTAGCTTTAAGTACTCATTCACGTGGGCGTATGCATATTTTCTGCATAGTACACAGGTTCTTATGTAAAATACATGCCTAAAGTACCTGCACTTAGAAAGGTTTTGATGCGTACAGCATTTAGATGCATACAATTCCTCTAATTACTATACATATATATGCATTTACACAGGATTCTAAGTGTGCACACATAAAATACTTTAGTGACTGATGTTTTTTTTTTCCTTTACTATAAAAATAAAAAAAAAGACCAAAAATTCTGAAAAAAAAACTGTTTCCCTTTACTCTCTGTTAAAATAAAAAAAGCCACAATGGTACAAAATCCCCCCCAAATTACCTTTTTTTGGAAAGTAGGCACCCTAAGGTAATCTCATTTTTTGCTACATTTTTTGAAAATGAATGCCAGTACCGAGGGGGTTAAAGACGGAGCTTGAGAATGGTGCATGTAGCTTCAGCTGCTGATCCATTAATTCTGTACCCATCCAGAAGTACTGATCTCTCTGCTTCTCCTGTTGTAAGGTGATCAGCTGGGAACAGTCAGTCGGCTCTAGGCTTTGTGAGGTCTTAGGCAAAACTTAAAATTAAGGCCCCACTCATTCACATAATGGAAAAATAATTCAAACAATCAAAATGGCTGCAGAAAGATGCACAGATCTAGGACACAGGAGATCAGCACCACTTCCAGGGCATCCTCCTCATCCATCACACACATGCAGCCAATACAACATCTGGGACCCAGCAAGGTGACAACCCCTCCAGTCCTGTGCCCTGGGAGAATTGGGAGGGGGTGTCACTAAGTCATTGCACATCAACAGAGGAAGGAGAGTGGGGGGAAACCCAGCACAGTGCAGAGAGAGAAAGGAGAGGTGGGTGGTGAGAGAGAGAGTGGGAGGGTGAGAGGGGGATGAGAAAGAGGAGGGTGAGAGAGAGAGGGAGTAAGAGAGAGACAGAAAGGGGGGGTGGTAAGTGAGAGGAGGGTGAAAGAGAGGGAGGGGTGAGAGAGAGAGAGGGGGGTGAGGAAGGGGGGGTGGGAGAGAGAGGAAGGGTGAGGGAGGGGGTGAGAGAGAAAGGATGAGTGAGAGAGAGGGGGTGAGAGAGAGGAAGTGTGAGAGAGAGAGAGAGGGGGGTGAGAAAGAGAGGGAGGTGAAAGACAGCGAGATGTGGGTGAGAGAGAGAAGGGGGGTGAGGGGGGTGTCAGAGAGAGGGTGGTGAGAATGGGAGAGGGGAGGTGAAAAAGAGAGGGGTGAGAGAGAGGGGGGGTGATAGAGGATGAGAGAGAGAGAGGTGAGGGGGGGTGAAAGAAAGAAGTGACAGGGGGATGATAGAGAAAAAAGGGGTGAGAAAAGGAGAGAGAGGGGGGTTAAAGATAGGAATTCAGAGAGAGAGACAAATAGGGGTGAGAGAGACCCCTATCATTGTCCCTGTCTGCAGTCCCTACTCTGCACTTCCAGCCCTGTCCCTGTCTGCAGTCCCTCCTGTGCCCCCATGTCCCAGTCCTTGCCTGTGGAAAGGTGTGTGTGATGCTCTATAAGGTGCCTTCCATGCCAGCAGGATATTCATGATGGCCAGCATCAGTCAGGGCCTGTTCTTATTCTGGGTGAGGACAGGAGGTGCTCTGCTCCTTCCAGCAGACCTATTTGATGTGAGATGGAGTGGTTCCTGGCCACCTGCCATCCTCATTCTCCAGCCCTGGACAGCCTTTTCTCCGTTCATGGAAGTGGAGAGGAGGTTAAAGAAGGAGTCCAGGGGTTCCAGGCTGTGGGAGGTGCCGGGCATGCTGTGCCTGCTGTTGCTTGCATCTTTGGAGCTCTTCTTCCTCCAGGGCTATTGGTCCTATCAGCCCTCGCTCCTCACTTTCCTTGCATCCTCAGTCTCCGGGCCCACCTGGTCGCCTTGTGGAAATGGTACCTGGAGCCGGGTGCTGTCATCTTGCCTGCACCTCGATGCCTTAGCTGTTCTGTTCCCTGCACCTACTGCCACCACTCTGGGTCTCTCAATGACGAGGCCCCTACTGGCCCAGGGCACTCAGGCAGTGTCCAATTGGTCAGTCCGCCCCTGGGCCAGAGAGTCCTGGCTGGGTGGAGGGGGGAGGCCGGTGCCAGCATTCATGATTGATCACATGCAAATGAGGCAGCCATGAGTGCAAGGCCTTAGGCAACTTTTTATTTGCCCAATTAAAGAGCCCCTCTGGGTACAGTGTCTCTGTCTACCTAGCTGTCCAAAGACAGCTGGGTACACAGAGAAAACCAGGCAGATTGGCTGGCTGACATTTATTCTGAGTATGGCTCCTTCAAGATGAGGCAGACTCCGCCAGGAGTCCACTTGCTCAGCAGATTTCAGCCTGGATTCTTTCCTAGATACACATAATATAACTGGATACAAACATTTACAGGTAAAGTTGATCCAGGGAATATCCTCGGGCAGGAAGGAATTTTTCCCCTGCAGGAGCAAACTGGGGGGGGGGGGGGTTTGCCTTCCTCTGGATAACCTGTGGGTATAGGATTATAACATTTCTTTTTTTTTTTTTTATGGTTGAACTAGATAGACTTTTCTTTTTTCAGCCAGACTAACTATGTAACTATGAGGGGCCTGATGTCTCCATAAAGAGAAGCTATTACTACAGTAAAAAAAATATGACAAGTAAAATAAACTAAAGTTTGCCTTATCTTCCCACTCTTTTCACTCCTTTGCTCTGACATCCTTTTCCCCACATCTTGCCTGCTAAGACACATTGTTAGCATTGTTTGTAACATTGCCCTTTCTGGGAGAGAGAAACATTGTTAGCATTGTGTGTAACATTGCCCTTTCTGGGAGAGGTACACTTTTGCTTATATGTATAAGAAACACATGTGTTTTTTTTTGTAGCTGTAAGAAGAAAGCTTTGTAATTTGGTACTTAAAAGAACAGCTTGTTAGCAGAGAGAGTGGCAATATTACTGCATATTACTAAAGAGAATGTTATATCAACACATTATCTGATCAAAAGCTCTGAGAAGTCACATCACTAGAGAAAATGATGTGAGATGTGCACATTACCTGACAGATTGCTATTACAGCTACACATTATCAGCTATACATTACACCCTACAGAATACCATGACAGCTATGCATCACATGCATGTGTACCATTAAAGCTGCACGTTATCTAATAGGTTATTTTTTTTATTGGATGCTTTGGTAGGTACATAAAACCATAAGGAATTATTTGTGTGTGTGTGCTATCTGACAGGATGCTAAGACTTCGCATTATCTGTGTGAGTTCAATGAAAGCAGCATAATACTCAAGAGAGTGATATGATAGACAGCCTTTGCAAATTTGGTTTGTATGACAGCTTTAATCTTGATGAACAATGGATGGTCCTGGCCAGAGCAGTGAACTGGGATGTGTTTTTGAGCCAATATACATACATTAGAAAGTACTGCTGGAAGGTAGTCTTGACCAGGGTAGAAGAATTCAGGTGACGTTAGAAAGTGTGGTTGGAAGGCAATTCATGGTAGTGGGAGGGGTGAGTGAGCGGCATTATTGCCATGTAGCCTATCATAAATTTGACTTATTAAACAAAAATCAAACTATATAGAGCATTTAATCCTATGTATTCTATATGTGCTGATGTGTCTGCTCAGAAAAATTATTTGGTACAACATATTGTCTTATTATTTTTATTTCGTCCAAAAAGAGCAGATTGTGTGGAAATACTAAGAAAGTGTGGAGATCACAGTAGATTTCCCGAAAGCCACACAGCTGAAAGCATATGTGAAATGCTGTCTTCCACTGATGACACAGAGGACTGTATTCCTTTGGAAACCTATCTTCGTAAGTAACAGTCTATATTCTTCTATGAACATCATTGAAATGTATTGTTCATAATCAATTTAGAATATGAAGCTGTCACATTTGTGATTAGGTGCAGAGCAGGTCTGGACTAGCCATAGAGCATAGTGGGCATTTGTCCGGCGGGTCACGGCCGCCAGGCTGCATGTCCCAACAAACAGGGCCTCATTGGCACTGCAGAGCAATGGGGTACATGGAAAACAGGCAGCACTGTGTGCTGTATTATTCCCCAGTGAGCAAGGAACTGGGGAAATGGCCAGGAGCTCCAGTGATGCTCTTATCCCATGCCGTGCCAAGCATCCTGTATGCTTGGGACTCAGGAGGCTGTGAGGTAGGAGCTGAGAGCAGAGTGAGAGTGGCAGCCAGCAGCACTGACAGCCTGTTGATGGTGAGCACTGCTGGTCAGGACCAAGTAGGTCCCCCCCCCCCCATATAGACTGTCTATCTATGACTGTTCCTAAACCCTGTCAGTGGCTGGGGTAACCAGTGACAGGTGGCCAGTATGGGGCGAGGAGTTATGGGAAATGCCCACACTGCCAGCCTTATCTCTGAGGCTGCATCGGGCACAGCGAGTGGCCAGAGGGATCCTGGTAATCTGAGTGGGGCTGAGGTGGGGCTATTGGAATTAGAGGGCTTTGGGAGGTATCCCAATAGAGAGCAGAGTGACATTTAGGGGTGGAGTTATGGAGAGTAGAGGGGCATTGTTGGAAGCTTTATGGAGAGCTGAGTGGCATTTGGAAGTGGACTATGGGTAGCTAAATGGCATTTTGTGGTGGGGCTATGGAGAGGGAACTTTGTGAGCAGGGCTACTAAGAGTAGAGAAGGCCATGAAAAGTATGGGGTTGTGGGGGTGGATATGAAGAGTACAGAGGGGTGATGGGCAGGGCTATGGAGAGCTGGTTGGGGTTATGGAGCTAAGTGAAGGGTGAGTGGAAATAAAGTGCAATAACCTAATGAGGTGCAACATATCAGTGAGCAATTATGATGTGCAGTAACCTCTTGTGACCAATCAGTTAGCAGTAATGATGTTCAGTAACCTCTATCAACTAATCAGCAAGTAGAAATGATGTGCTGTAACCTCTAGCAACTAATAAGTGAGCCGTAATGTGTGCTGTAACCTTTAGCAACTAATCAGTGAGACTAATGTGTGCTGTAACCTCTAGCAACTAATCCGTGAGACATAATGTGTGCTGTAACCTCTAGCAACCGATCAGTGAGTGGTAATGCTGTGCTGTAACTTCTGCCAACCAATTACAATCACTTTTTTTTCTCAGTCCCAGTGGAAAGTAAACCGGTAGTTGTCAATATTTGTAATTTGATTTAAAAAAAAAAAAAAAAAAGGGCTGCTCAGTCTAAAATGCCTGGGCCTATTTTTTGCCCCAGTCCGGGCCTTGTGCAGAGTTTAGTATTTTACACATTGCATCTTAGGAACATCGGCCCAAATAACTGTATACTTACTGTGTGGCTTATACAGTATATGCAAAAGGCAATAATTGATTGCTTTCAGATCTGATATAAGCAATGTGTAAGGCAACATTGGAAGCAAAACCTATGTAAAAAGTAGAAAAATTGTGCTTAATAGAGTCCTAAGACTAAGTTCTAAATTTACTGTATATTTGTACTGTCTCGCTGTGCTGCTCAATACAAATGAAAGGATCCAGGTATCCTTTTTCCTTGTGACAAAATAGTAGAAAACAGTTTGCAAAGCTTTTCCCCACTAAAGACATTTCAAATTATGTATGATGCAGGCATTTCTTTACTGGAATATAAATTAATGTAATACAGTAACTGTAAGGATGTATATTGCATATATCTACACAGTATTTCCCTTTTTATTATTATCGTCTTCAGCTTTTAACATACTACGTATTTGTTTTACATAAGCCCTGTACTGGAGATGTTTCAGTTCTTCAGTGATTTATGTATTAATTGTTTACTTTTATTCACCAGCATTCCACAGATCATCCTCTGAGTCTAGCTGTGTTCACATACATCTAGCAAGTGCCGTTTGCAGGCAAGGGAGATGGACAGTACTCACCATAATTGTCAGTTTTTTAACCAGGCCCTCTGACAGGATAAAAATGATTGAATTACAATCTACAAAGATTCATGCCTTTTTATATATAAAAACATTTTTAGCCAGACTAAGGGATCTGTGTATAGGGGACAGCAGATACTGCTTTGATTTCTCTGCTAGACTGCATTGCATAGGTGTGCCCAGCCTATTGTCATAGGATGTGCACCCAAAAGCTCAAACACATAGTACACATGGTATATACACATGGGGCAGCACAATGATTAGCACTTCTGCCTAGTAGTACTAGGGTCATCGGTTTGAATCTCAAACATGGCATTAACTGCCTGGCATTTGCATGTTCTCCCTGTGCCTGCATGGGTTTTCTCCAGGTACTCCGGTTTCCTTCCACACTTTAAAGACATGCTGTTAGGTTAATTGGATCCTGTCTAATTTGTCCCTAATGTGTGTATTGATGATTGTAAGTTAGGGACCTTAGATCGTACACTCCTTAAGGGTTAGGGACTGATGTCAATGTACAATATATGTAAAGCGCTGCATAAATTGATGACGCTATATAAGTACATGTAATACATAATGTATATACACACACACCAATTCTGGTAGATCACAAGCTTAATAATGGCATGCAATTCCAAGCTACGGTTTCTAACGTGATCAAAATCCTCTGTTGTATTAAAAGAGGTATAGACTCCAGAGAGAGGGATATAATTTTATCCCTGTACAAATCATTACTAAGACCTCATCTGGAACATGCAGTTCAGTTTTGGGCACCAATTCACAAAAAGAACATTGGGGAACTGGAGAAAGTACAGATAAGGGCAACCAAACTGATAAGAGGCATGGAGGAGCTCAGCTATGAAGAAAGATTAGAGGAACTGAATTTATTTTCTCTTGAGAAGAGATTAAGAGGGGATATGATCAACATGTATAAATACATCAGTGGTTCATATAGTGAACTCTGTGTAGAGTTATTCACTCTGAAGTCATCACAGAGGACAAGGGGGCACTCTTTACGTCTGGAGGAAAATAAATTTAATCTCCAAACATGGAAATATTTCTTCACAGTGAGAGCTGTGAACATGTGGAATAGACTCCCTCAAGAGTTGGTTCTGGCCAGCTCCATGGATTGCTTTAAAAAAGGCCTGGATTCTTTCCTAGATACACAGAATATAACTGAATACTAACATTTATAGGTAAAGTTGATCCAGGGAATATCTGATTGCCTCTCGGGGGATCAGGAAGGATTTGTTTCCCTGCAGGAGCAAATTGGATCATGCTTTGCTGGGGGGTTTTTTGCCTTCCTCTGGATCAACCGTGGGTATGGGAATGTAACTTTTTTTTTTTTTTTTTTTTTAATGGTTGAACTGGATGGACTTTTGTCTTTTTTCAGCTAGACTAACTATGTAACTATGTATTTAACCAGCGCTTTTTATGGAAAAGTAAACCTGAACTAACACCTTACTGCCTGCCATCTCCTGGCACAGCTTACCTGCTCCTGGTAGGCTAATGTCTGTCCCACACTGCAGGCTGTGTTTACTACTCCCTCTTTCACTGTCTCCAGCTGCCGGTACCTCCTGTTGTAAATTCAAACAAAGCACGCTGTGGAAGGGGCAGGTACAGTGCTGTTCCCATTGGCTGAGGAGGCAGCAGAGAGGTGGAGCAACTTTAGCCTCTGGATTTTTACAGACACTGCACGGTTGGCAACCCTGGTGATTACGGTGTGCTCTTGGCACACCCATGCGCATGCCTATGGTGCATTGTCTACTTGACATGGAGCCCTATGAGCTACATGGTGTTTATTTTATGAGCTACAGTATTCATGCATGCCACAATTTGGAGCTTGCAGTTTTTTATAGTGTGTCCTCTGCATACTACTTCACAGATCACCTCATGACTAAGGAATAGCAGATATTACGGCTGCTCCTAAACCTTTTAAATTCCCCACCTAAACCTGTGACTTCCCCGATCAAAAACAACACAGACCCGCATTGGAGTTTAAAGGCCACAGCAGCCATTTTATTAAACAACATTTTTCCAAAATGACACATTCTTTGTAATAACTCACCTAATCACTACTCCCCTTCCTGTTACTCCGGATTATCTCTTTAAAGTTTAGGGTCTTAGAAGGTGACTTATATATTGACCAACCGGCTGTATCTACCACCAACATGGACTTCAAGGGCCCCAGCCGCAAATACACCTACTTGGGGACAATTTCATAAAATTAACCTTGATACAGCCAACTTACTCCTGCACCATTACTGCAGTTAATTTGCTAGGGTAGGTACACCCATACCTGTGATGGGCCCAACCCACCTTTCACCAAAATAATAAAACCCGTCACTGCCTTCCAAGACCCTGTGACCCCTGCCAGCTGCCTTGACAAAGACAGCCAGAAAACAAGCAAACCCTTACAAAAAACAGAAACACTTCCATCCATTAAACCACCCATAACCACTAAAAGAGCAAGAAGGACCCCTGAAGATAAGCCCCGTAAACACAGAACTGTCAAACCAACGTGCAGGATGGAGGGCGGGAGAAACTTGTCCTACACTGTCCAAGCTCCGACTGACTCTGACCACTTTGGAACCACCCTACTAACTCTCCCATCCGGTCCCTCTTAAGCCGCACCCGAGCCCACTCCAATCAGCTACTACCTTTCCATTTCAAACCAAACTCCTCTATTATCCCTACGATGCTCCGCCTATCCTGCCAACCTAGTTATGTCAGGCCCTCCGCCTAATGCTGTGCATCTAGCTCCAGGCCTTATTCTTGACTAAGGTATAGCAGATATTACGGCTGCTCCTAAACCTTTTAAACTCCCCACCTAAACCTGTGACATCCCCGATCAAAAACGACACTGACCCGCATTGGAGGCTACAGGAGCCATTTTTATTAAACAACAATGTAACAAAATTACACATTCTTTGTAATAACGTAATCA